CCCTTCTGATTGGTGCAGCTAGTCTGTTCTGATTGGCCAGTGGTGGACCTGTTCAAAGCCAATGTAAATCTTGATTCTCAATCCTGGTTGCAGGTAAGGAATTGGCTGAAGCACAGAAGAAGAACTTTTAGAGGTCACAGGGAGGCAGATGGAGCAGGAAGGCAGGGTGCCAGGCCTCTGAAGAACTAGGAACTCCCATCCTGGGGTCGTGGACCCCTTTGTCTTTGCTTCTTTCTGCTTCTTGAAGCCCACTCTAAAACTCAGGCTGGAGTGGCCTGTGTCCTGGCCTCTACTTGCATCCCAGCCACTCAGCTAACCTGATAATTAGCCAGGTATCCACTTCTTCTCCCACCACCTACATCTGGGGGTGTGCACATCTCAAAGTGCTGTGGGGACCCTCCAATATCAGAGGTGGCATTGGGTCTCACAGGCTTGGATAGACACCCTGAAGAATTCTCCATACGAACATGGAGTCATGAGGTCCCCAGGTCTGGGAGTGTGGCTTTATTTCAAGCTGTCCCAGGTGGCAGGAGGGAGGGGTCAGAACTGTCTAAACAGACTGAGGGACTGGAAGGTGGATAAAGTAAAGTTGGTACTTACAAGTGTGAGACCTGATGGAAGCCAAGCCAAGAGAAGGAGGTACAGGAGCCTCCAACAGTCTCTGAAGAAACCATAAAGAAGTAAACTTTTTGTCCACCAAGTGCAAGACCTGGGTTCAAACCCCGTTACCCCCCCCCCAAAAAAAAAAACAAAAAAAAAGTAGCAAACTTTTTCTGCAGTTTGCCTCATTGGCCTTTCCTGTGTCCTGTCTGCCTGTCTGGCTAGCTCATCTCGCATAGCCCTTAAAAGTCAGGTTCCCAAAGCAACACATGCATGACTCGGGGACAGTGGTAGCTAACAGTAGTGACTGCAGCCCTCTTGCTGTGTGTCAGCTGTTGTGTGAAATGCCAGTCAGCTCTTAGCCCTGGGCTTCCTCATCTGAAAAATGTGAGTAGTGAGTAGTGCATATTTCTAGTGATGTTGTGAGGGTCAGATGAATTGAAGCCTAAGAGATCCCTTAAAACAGTTCCTGGCATGAATCCTGCTCAATAAATGTTAACTCTTCATCATTAAATATTTACTGACCACCTTCTATAGATGGAGTACAATACATGCCCCAGGGAGAGGAAGGTGATGGTCCTTCGTGGTGCTTGCAGTTAACTGTGTGAAAGGCGCATTAACTCGGCAGTTCAACTCAATGGTTTCAGTGCCTGGCTGGGGAAGATTTGGGAGGGCAAGGCGTTCTTTTACTTCTCTTTTGTTTCTCTCTCTGATTGGAATGTAAGTCCCATGGCAGGAGACATCATGTCCCCTTTGTTCACAGCTGTATCTCCACCTCACAGGAAGAGCCCTGGAGAAGGAATGAGTGGATGAAGTGCTGTTTTTAGCTTCATCTAAAAGATGAGGTGTTGATAAAGTGGAGTTGGGAGTGAGGAGAGAAAGAAGAATCATCAGTGGGACCCCATCTCTGCAGGGGGATGGCTGGGTGACCGAGAGTTACTTTCCAGCCTGGGTCTGGTTTATCATTGTTAAAATGGTAACGAACAACACCTTCTACATGGTGTGTCGTGTGGATGGGAGAGTGTGCCTTTGATGCTCACATCTTCCACTAAACATGTTCTCTTTTCCTTTCCCATTCTTTGTGTCACTTGATACCTCCGACTGTTAAAGAGGTGTTGAGATAGAAAAGGTTCTTGATCAGGCTGGTGAGAAATGCTTGAATCCTTCTCCCCGAGAGCTCCCATGTAGATATTTACATGGAGAGAAGTGCAGAGCCAACAGAGGCACAGTGGTTGAAATTTTGCCCTAAGTCTTCAAGTAGTGCTTGTGAAGCCCTTGAGGACTCCTGTTTTGTATACAAGGTAGGTCAAAGGAAAGTCAAACCCAAACTGAAACCCACCTTGGCTTTTACAATCTCAACATACCAAAAAAAAAAAAAAACCCAAAACAAGCAACAAACAAACAAAAAAACCCAGGAGGACCTCAGAAGTCAAGAGGAGAGAGAAACTTGACCCAGAACTTGGATGAAACTGGCCTAGGCCTCTCATGCTAACCTTTTCAGGGCCAAACCATGGGACCTGGACTCAGCAGCCTCCTGGGAGAGGTGAAGGATATCGAACAGCAGAAAGATGGCAGACCTGCCTTGTAAACCCTGTGCAAGCCCCACCCACTGGTACTGGGCTAAACAGTATATTGGAATCTAGCCAACCAGCCGAGCTCTCTGCCTCCTTAGAGATTGAGTAGGGGAGCGAAAGACACCCAGAGCTCCCCACTACAGGCCAATATCAATCATGTCCAGGGGGTGCTTTTGAAGCATTCATTTCCTGAGTTTAAAGAGGATGCCCAAGGGGCAGCATGGGAAATGTTCTATGGCACAGAGCAGGGGACTCTTTCTAGGAACTTCTTTGCCCTGGGATGGAGACAAGGTTGGTTAAGGAGCTAATCGGGAGCCTTTAGTTTTTGTTAGGTGATTTCCAAACCTTGCTGTTGTCACTAGAGTAGCACCCCAGCCCTTGAGGTCAGCAGGTAGTTGCTGGAATCCTTCTGCTGGTCCTGAGCACTGCATGGTCAGTTGGAATGCCATGAGAGAACTGGGTATTTTAGTGAGGCTTCTGAGATCCACTTTTCATACAACAAAATTCACTTTTTAAACACATAGCATAAAATTCACACTATTGATACATAGGCCATTCTAGTAACTAATGAAAGTTACCAAACACTGCTCCTTTGTCCTTAATTCCCTTTCCACTCCTGTTCTTTTAACCACTAATCTGTTTTCTGTCCCCTTAGTCTTGCCTTTTCTAGAACAACATCTAAATGGAATGGTACACAATAGAGCCATTAGTGTTGTTCCATGTGTCAGTAGCTCTTTCCTTCTCATTGACGAGCACTATTCTGTTGGGTAGATCACACTCTGTCCGTTCATCCACTGAAGGATATTTGGGGTGTTTCCAGTTTTGAGCTACTAAGAGTAGGGTGATCCTGTACTTTCAAAAACAGGTTTTGGATAGACATATGTTTGCATTTCATTGAAACTTGGTTACTGGGTCATTGATGGGAAGGGTCTAGCTTTATAAGAAACTGCCAAACTGTTTTCCAAAGTGACTCTACTATTTTGCACCCTCCACTCTACCAATTGTGTGAAAATCCCAGTTGTGTTCTTTTCTCACCAACATTTGATATCTTGATATTGTCCATTTCAAATTCCTAAAAATTTTAGTAATTTTGCGAGGTAAGATGGATTATTTTTAAAATTTGGAAATAGTAGTCTCCTGGGGAGGACCACTCATCACGATAAAAGCAGTGTCTACTTATTAAGTCAATTTATTTGCTTACTTGTTCATTTTCTACCCCTGGTACCAGCACATGCATTTCAAGAAGGCACCTGGCCCTGCATCAGTAGATACTTGTGAATGAATGGATGGATGGGGAACGAGGGATAGCATGTAGCAGAAGCTCGGATGTCAGATCAGAGAGGTTAGAACGTAGTGCCCACGGTATTAACTTCAGTGGTGTACTGCTTTCCAGAGAAAGCAGCCTTGGTGCTGGGTTGGGAAAGAGAAGAAGGAATTCTGTAGTTTGAGAAGTGAGAGAAGAGCAGTTCTCAAAAAGAAATGACACTGAGGGGCATGGCTCAAGTGGTAGAGCACCTGCCTATCAAAGAGGAAAGGACGTGTGGAGCTAGAGGGCTGTGAAGGGTATGACACGGTTAGGGGATGAACCAGTTCTGTGTTCTGGGAACATACTGGAGAGGGAGGTCACACTGGGGAAGTAGTAATAGCAATGTGAAAGCTTACATTTACTGCTCACTGTGTACCAGGTGGTTCTACGATGTCTACATAGGCTAATCCATTTATTCTTCCCGACAGGGCTGCACCATAGGACAGTCTTAGCACTGTCATTATCTCTGCTTTATAGACAAGGAAACTGAAGCAGAAAAAGATTAAATAACTTGCCAAAGCCATTCAACCAAGAAGGATTTAGGTGGCTTATACTCCCATCTGTTTTTTTCTCTATACCACACTGCCAGGTTAAGAAGAGCACATTTAGTAGTTATAGAACTGTGTAAGAAATGAATACCACCCCTCAATGGAATGTCAAGTGAATCGAACAAAACAGAAGTCAAGTTTTCTCTTGGATGTCAGCTCAAAGGAGCAATGCTGATAGGGTGGCTTTGTCCTTTCTGCACATGGCTCCAGGTTTGGGTTCAAGGTGGTCACTTTCATTTCTCATCCTGTTCCAAGCAATGGGGAAGGGGAAGAGTAGGGGAGGTGCATACACAGCCCTTTTAAGGGAGTGACCTGGGAACACATATATCCCATTGGCTAGAACCCAGTCATATGACCAAATTGCAAGGGAGGCTGGGAAATGTGGTTTCCACTTGGATGACCATGCACTCTGCTAGAGCTCAAGGGTCCAGGATTAAAGGGAAGGATGGGTATTGGTAGAAACCTAGCAATCTCCGATATAACTGACAGACCATTCTTTGAACTTTGAACTTTGTTCTGAAAGTGATGAGGAACTGCAAAGGCCTCTCAGTGGGAATGTGTCGTGGCTAGGCTTGGACTTTAGATCACTCCAGAAACGTGGAGGATAAAGAGAAAGGGGGCTGAGTGAATAGGAACAAAGAGGCCTGTCACTGTTTGCCACCTCTAGGGTCCTCGCTCTGGGTAGGAGCCAGTAGGTGGAGTACTCAGGTGGCCCAGGTGGAAAAGCTGTAGGCAGAGTGAGTGTGTGCTGGAGCTGGAATTGAGGGAATGACTTGATGACCTAGTCACTTATTTGTTCAACACAACTTGTCCAGCCCTGGGTCTGGGCACCGAGTCCAGCGATGGTCCTGCAGGGATAATGATCACTGGCCAAGTTCAGTTCTTGGTCAGTTCCCCAGTGATACTCAGCAGTGTGAATCATTGGCTTCCCACCTTGACAATGGCTCTCTTGTTTGCCTCTCTTGACCTTAGGACCCCCGGAGCAAGCACAAGTTCAAGATCCACACCTACTCCAGCCCCACATTTTGTGACCACTGTGGCTCGCTGCTTTATGGACTTATCCACCAGGGGATGAAATGTGACAGTGAGTACTGCTCTCGCAGGCAACCTCCGCCCTCAGCGAGGACTCTGTCCTCATGGTGTGGGGTCCACGTCTGCAGCATGTTCTCCCAGTCCCTGGGAAGGGTTGACCTCCCACTTACCCATTACCCTGCAATGGTCCTTCCATCCCACCATGCAGTGGTTGGAAGTATAACAACTGCTTACTTAGCTCATGGCACTGGAAGGCATGCTTTGGGTCTGGACAGGGCTCTCCTGATGTCAGCTGGGCTTTCTCATGCATTTGTGCAGGGGTTAGTGGGTCAGCTAGGGTGCTGGCTGGTGTCCTCTGACTGACGAGGACCACTAGGTCATGTGTCTTCATCTTCAGAAGTCTAGCTAGGCCTGTGTGCCTGGAAGTCCCAGGGGCCTGAGTGTGTTTGGAGGGCAAGTCCATTGCCAAGCACACTTGGAGTCTTTGCTCTGGGTGTTTGCTCCAGTTCTGGTGCTCAGGGCAAGTCATGTGACAAGTTACATCGTCAGTGTGGGAGGGACATCCAGAGGCATGGGCTCAGGGCATTGTGAACAAATGGGGCAATTCCTGCAGTCATGTACCATGGCTGTTTTCAACACTGAAATGAGGGCTGACACATTCTTTGGGGAGAGAGGACCGGCCTTCCAGCAGTGCCCAGTTTGTGTTAGGAGAGGAAAGAGAGTACAGTCTCTGGCAGGGCTGGCATGGGGGAAAGGCAGGCAGGCAGGACTGCTCTGTATTAAGCAAAGGCCTGAGTAACCTCTGGGGCTTTGAGAACAAAAGCCCCAGAGGCAAAGGCCTGAGTAACCTCTGGGGCTGCAAAGGGGCAGAGAGGCTCTGCATACTGGTGGCTCCCACAGGCCTGTTGGACTGCAGCAAGCTGAGCAGTCATGAGGCTTGTGACCCTGTCACAGAGGGAGAAACTCAGAGGGACAGAGTGAGAGAGGGATATGAGTGTGGATGGTATGGGAGAGAGCAGAAGAGACAGACAGACACACTCACACATGGACAGAGACAGATGCAGGGGACAGATGGACATGTGCAGCCAGGCAAGTGGGGCTCAGCTGAGAGCAGCTCAGGCAAAAGGAGGGACAGACAGACAGACAAAACTATAAGAAGTGGCAGTAAGAGGTGCATTCACACAGGCTTATGCAGAGATCTAGCAAAGGAGAGAAGCCAGAGACAGAGGTCACATGTGGAGAGAGCAGTGGAAGTGGAAAGAGAGACAGAGATCATAGTCAAGTGCAGAGTGGACCAGGCCTGTCCCCAGATACAGCCAAGGCAGTGAGGAGCGCACAGAAACAGAGCAGCAGAGTCAGGGGAGAGTCACACCGCGATGTAGGCGCAGAGAGACAGAGATGACACGGAGAGAAAGAGAGCACAGGGGTACCCGAGCTGGTCATGGCCTCCAGCTGGACATACACACAGCAAGGCTGGTGCCTGCAGCCTGCAGGACACTCATTCCACTTACCACGCCTGGCTCCCTGAACATGGGGATGATGCTCTTTCCTCAAAGAAAGGGGAGGTGGGTCAGGGCTGGGGCTGGTGCTTTGGTGCTGGGGATCTTGCGTCCTCTCCTGCTGTCCTCTCGTTTTCCACTTTGGTGACCTGTCTGCTGCCCCCTGGAGCTTGGGACAGCTGAGAAGGGGCTCCCCCAACATCCTTTCCCCAGTTTCTTCAGGTCTCCTGAAATGTCAGCCAGGGGCGACATTTCTCTCCCTGGGCTTCTCAAACTGGACCGAGCATCCCCTGGAGAACATCCCCTAGAGAACAGTCATTGTTGCAAAACTTAGGGGAAAGCAGGCATGAAGCAGACATATCCGTCCTGAAGGTGTGCGAGGGGACGTTTAAGTTCCTACAATGCACAAGACAGCGAAGGGCCAGATGGAGTTTACAGGCATTTCATTCCTCCTGCCCCAGTCTACAGTTTTTCTATTGTGGACACTGTGGTCTGCATAGACCTCCTCTTTGGGCCCATCTGTCCTCCAGCTGGGTTCACGTAGCACCCCTCACAGGGTGCTGACCTCCCACTGACGCAAAGGTGTAGCCCTCTGGTCTCAGCGTGGGATGACTCTGAATAGGCTCCCCTGGTCAGCTTCAGTTACACCAGGTGGCTGGTCAGCCCCTCCTCTGCAGAGCTCTCCCCCAAACCACAATCCCTACTTCTTTCACTCTCCAGGGAACAGCACCTATTATCTGTCGATATGTTAAAATCTAGAGATGCTGCCCATGAATCCGAACTCCAGTTGATCTAAAACATGGGGCACTTTGACAACCTCAGGCCACTCCTGCTCAGCTCACCCGGACAGGGGTGGCTTTGTCCTCTGCTTGGCCAGTTCCACATCTTGTCTGGTTTGTGTGACAGCGCCCATGGGCAGTCAGAGTGGTTGCTTTGGAGCCACTGGACGTGTGGAGTGTGCCTGTCTCAGGCTGATGGCCTTGGCTTTTTGAGGACAGACAAGTTCATGATGACCACCAGGCCCATGGGTCTCACCTGCTTGCAAGGGGGGTGGGGGCAATGCAGGGTTGCAGCTGGCCCAGGCAGGGCAGAGGCCAAACTGAGCCGTGTCCTCTCTCTGCCTCACAGCCTGCATGATGAACGTCCACAAGCGCTGCGTGATGAACGTCCCCAGCCTCTGTGGCACTGACCACACGGAGCGTCGAGGCCGCATTTACATCCAGGCCCATATCGACAGGGACATCCTCATTGTTGTTGGTACGTGTTCCCGGAGCACCTGCTGACCTTGCCTGATCCAGGTGTCTGGGGAGCGGGAGGTGGAAGAGGGATGGAAGGTGCTGGAGCCAGAGGAGGCCTGATGCCGCAGTGCTCGCCATTCCTGCCTTCCCTGCAGTGGGCATCCTTATGACTGTCGGACCTCAAAGTTCTCTGTACCTTAGGCTGGCTTGAGCACAGAGAGAGATCACCCAAGCCCCCTCCCCTGGACCACTTGAATGGAAATTGACATTTAATGATTGCACATAACAGTCATGGGCACTGTATATTTTGACACATGTATAATACATAAAGATCCAGTCAAGGTAATTAACACATCCAGTCCCCTCAAACATTGCTCATTTCTTGTCTTGTGCTGGGGACATTCATAGGACTTCTCATTTTCATAAGCTTCTCCCCTCCCTCCCTTCCACCCCCCTTTCCCATTCCTTCTCTGGGAATCTTTGCAGTGTCCAGTTCTGTTTTCCTTCTGCAGATAGCAGAGAAGGGAAACTTGGTTCTCCCCTGGTCTTTCCCAGTGGGAAAAACGGAGTCTTGGCCAACAGCACTAAATTTGGGAGAAGCTTATGTCTTGGAGAGGAGCGTGGAAGGGCGTGGAATCCAGGCGGTACCAGGGCTTTCTACATAGTGGAGTCATTTTTCTTTAACCTGATGGTGACTCTGCTGGCTGCTGTTCTGCTCATCTGTGTATTTTGTGAACATACACATGACGGTGCAGTGAGAGAGCGAGGAGCAGGAAGGAGGGTGCTGCATGTCTTTCACCTAGTGCGTATTCAGGACGTGCTTGGTATGAGCAAAGTTGGGATCTGACTGTGGATACTCAGCCACGAGCCACAGTAAAACTAGCCTTGAGCCGGACGGAATGGATTCACACTTGAAGGCTGTGACTCAAATCTGCAGACTTTAAGTCTTATAAGCGAGGTTTTGGGAACTGATCATGGAAGGGACTGGTTTTGCAAAAATGGTTAGTCAGTAGTGCTGATATGCCAAACCTGGTTTGGGAGGGGCTTTACCTAAACTATATAAAAGCTGGAAAATATCCCTGTAAAATAGAATTCCTTCTTTAAAAAATGGCAATTTGTGAAGCCCAGTGAGCTTTTATAGAATGTATATTTCATCACATTACTTGCCCGCCTCCCAGTGGAGTGTTTGGGTGGGGGTGGGGGGCAAGAATCCTACAGCTCTAGGTTCAGGAAGTACTTTTTTTCATTCACTGTCTTAAAACTACAGCCTTGGTGGCTTAGGAGCAAAAATGAGTCTCTGCTGCCCTCTAATGTCTCTCTCTAGAAACTACACTGGCTCAAAAGTTATTTCAGATGCCCCCTTTTTTCTTTTTAAAATTAGCATGTATTAATTGCACAGAGGTGATATTTCCACACATGAATATAACATACTTTGATCAAATTCACCCCTCTATTCCTCTTTATTACCGCTTTCTTCCCCTTTAAACAGTTTTTAATGGGTTCCATTATTTTGTTTTTATACATGCATATAATGTACTTTGATCACATTCACTTCCCCCTCCTGCTGGTTCCCACCCCAAACAGTCCCTGTTTTCACTCATGTTATTCAGTTTTTTAGATCTAGATTCTGCAAATGTGACACTTGCTTCCCAGTCTGGCTTATTTCACTCAACGTGGTGATCTTCAGTTCCATCCATTTACCTGGAAATGACATAATTTCATTCTTTTTTATGGCTGAGTAATACTCCATTGTGCATATCACCAAATTTTCTTCATGCATTCATAGTTAATGGGTACCTAGATTGATTCTATAGCTCGGCTATTGTGAATAGTGCTACTGTAAAGATGGGTGTGCAGGTGTCTCTTTTGTAGACTGACTCACAGTCCTTCAGATATGCCCAGGAGTGGCTTAGCAGGATCCTATGGCAGGCCTATATTTAGTCTTTGCAGACCCTCCACACTGGGCAGCCCATCTGTGGAACCCATTGGACCCATGGTGCTCCAAACCTTGCATGCTGTCTCTTTTAACCCACCATGACATTGCCAGAGAGTCATTATCCTCTCTTTATGAATGAAGCTGCTTGGGCTCAGAGATGTTCTTGCAAGAGCTCGACCATTAGTGATAATAACGGAATCGCTGACGTTTCTTGAGGTTTGCATTGTTACATTTATGCAAAGCACCGGCATTGTGTTGGAGATAGTATTTTTATCATTCTACCCAGAGAGTTACATACTTCCTTACCTTGGTCTGTTTGGCTCTTAAGTACTGTATACTAAGTTACTTTTTTTTTGGCGAGTACACCATGGGGCATCCAAGCTCTCTGTGACTCAAGCCATTTCCCCAGTACTTTTGTTTTTAGTTTCTTTTTCAGATAGGGTCTCTTGATAACTTTGCCCTGGCTGGCCTCAAACCTTGATCCTTCTGTCTCTGCCTCCCAAGTAGCTGGGATTAAAGATGTGAACCACTGCAGTGGCACTAATTACTTTTAAGCTTAGTTTTGTTCTTCCTCCCCCTTGTTTATTTCCTTTGTGGTTTAGGGAGAGCAGCTCTACGGGCATTCCTGGGGGAGTCTTTGTTATGATGCGAGGGTACCAATCCTTTCTCGTTCAAGGTCTGTCTTCCCTTTAATCATCAATAGCCCCTGGCTTCTGGGAATCATTGGCAACCTCAGGCAACCCCAGGATATGCCTGTGAACAAGAGGTATTTTCATTTCCCGGTGCTAAGTAACCAGGTGGCTTCAATAAGAAGTTTGTTCTCTCTGTTCTGGAGGCTAGAGGTATGACATCCAGGTGCCAACAAGGGTTGATTCCTTCTGGAGGAGGAATTCTGCTCTGTACCCCTCTCCTCACTTCTGCTGGCTGCTGACAGTCTTTGGGGTCCCTTGGTTTATAGATGTACCAGTTCAGCCTCTTCCTGTGTCATCACCCACGCTCCTTGATAGGTGTCTCTGTGTTCAGACTTCTCTTTATCAGGACGCCAGTCACTGCAGTAGGGCCCACCCTGCTCCAGCATGACCTCCTCTTCATTTGATCACATCCATGAAGATCATAGGTCCAAATGAGGTTACATCACAAGTACCAGAATGAGGACTTGAACTTATCTTTTTGGGGACCACAATTCAACCCATAATGGAAGGTATAAAGTTGGGGCTCACTTAAACTTAGGTGGGGAGGATTTCTGCACACCTGGGGCTCTAGTGTTTCACTAGGTCATTGTGCTTTTCTAAGTACTGTGACATTGGGCTGCCCACTGGGACAGAGTTTCCATCACAGGTCAGGGGAAGCTAAAACCCAGAAAGCAGGGATGCACACCTGGGCCACCATGTCTCTGTGCCCAGTACTGCCCTTCCTCAGACCAGGCACAGTTCATTTTCTGCATGGACTTGTTGATGGAGGGATGATACCAGAACCCTGATGCTTTGGCTGTGTTCCCTAAAATGAGCTGAGATGGGGATTTTTTGCTCAGGTGACTTGCTGGGCTGCTCATGGGAGTGGAGGAGTGAAGGCATAGTATACGGCAGGGGAAAGGCTCCAGGAGAGTATGGTCTCCATCATGACTCCTTGAGCTAGTCCCACAGAGGGATTCTGGACTAGGCTGTGCACTGGGAAAGTCCCACTGTGAGGCAAGGGGGCCGTCCTTTCACACTGCAGGTTAGGCAGTGTGTCTTCCTAAAATCTGTATGTTGAATTCCCAGTGTGGTGGCATTTGGAGATCAGGGAGGTGATTATGGTAAGATGAGGTCATAAGGGTGGGGCCCTCATCATAGGATTAGTGACCAGAGAGAGAGAGAGAGAGAGAACTATGTAGGACACTGCAAGAATGTGAATGTGGCTATCTGTAGGCCAGGCAGTGGGAACTCACTAGGAGCTGAGTTGCTGCTCCACTTTCGGTTCTGGATCGCCCAGTTTCCAGAACTGTGAAGAATAAATGCATGTCATTTAAACGCCCTACATATGGTATTTCATTACCGCAGCTGAAGTGACTCAAACCGTCCTAGGCTGCTGGGATTGGGGGCAGGAAGGTAGAGGAAACTCCCAGTGTCTGAGGGCAGTTATCTGGACACAGGGCCAACTGTGAGCCATTAACACCAATGCTCACAGCAGTCAGGCATGCACTGGCTGGTATGGAGGGGAACTGGGCGGAGTCCATGGGCATCCAGGACACCTGGACTCCAGGCTCCTTCATCTTGACCTTGACCTTGGCAATACAGGTCAGACAGAGGAGAGAGAATTGAAGATGGCTCGGGGCCCCTCTCAGCAGTTCCATGTCAGAACTGGCCTTGACCTCAAGCACCTTTTGGTGACTTGTTCTACTTTATTTAGTCCTTAGGACTAGTGTTAGGACATTCCACTCATCACCAGCCTGGACCATGAACCTTACACCTGAATGTCACACACTCTTTGGAAGGTCCACATCTCCCAAGGTAGAGGGTTTTCTATCCTCCCTCACTACTGAAACCCAGGCTGTATATCTGCTCTTGGGGGTTCTTTGGATCACAATCAGAATGGAAATCTGTCTTCTTTTAAACACCCATCTATGGTTTTCTGTTGTCTTTGGAACAGACTAAACCTGACACGGTGGTCTCATTTTCTACCCTCAGGCCTCTCCAAGCCTCTTCTCCACATGGCGACGACCATCCGAGTATCCTATTCTATCCCTCTTAGACTATTCTCCACCTACATTATTTCACTCTTCCTCTAGATCTCAGCTCGTTCTTAACCCTGGCTGTCCCCTGTTGTAGATGCTCATGTAGCCTGAACTTGATCGTGGGACAGTTGCAGTTTTGTGCTGAGTTTGATTAGTGTCTGCCTTTGCACAAGGCATTAGCTCCACAAGGGCAGGACTGTGTCTGCTTTGGTTCATGACTGTGTTCCTAGTGCCTAGTAAGGTAGGTGTCACTATGTGTTTTGGAATCAGTGAATGAGAATGCCTTGATGATTCTGCCCAGATGGTCCCCAAATCAGTGCCTTTGAAGGCCAGTAGATAATCCAACTCCCACCATTATTCTCCTCCTCTT